TCTATTAGAGGCAGCAGCTCTGGAGTGAGGGGGATAGGTGGCTGTGCAGATCCGGTGCTCGTGGGGAGCCGGCTTAACATTGACATTTGGCTACATGTTAATATCTCTAGTAACTGCCCTGCTATACTCAGCAAGGGTGAGAGCTAAGCTGGGGCCACTGTATCCACCTGTGGGGACCACAATTTAAGAAAAATGTGGACTCTATTAGAGGCAGCAGCTCTGGAGTGAGGGGGATAGGTGGCTGTGCAGATCCGGTGCTCGTGGGGAGCCGGCTTAACATTGACATTTGGCTACATGTTAATATCTCTAGTAACTGCCCTGCTATACTCAGCAAGGGTGAGAGCTAAGCTGGGGCCACTGTATCCACCTGTGGGGACCACAATTTAAGAAAAATGTGGACAAACTGGACAGAGTCCAGAAGAGAGCAAGAAAAAAGAAAAAACGGTTTAGGAAACCTGACCTATTAAGGTTAACGTGTTAATTGAAACTGGGGTTGTTTATTCTTGAGTCCCGATGACTGAGGAGGGACCTGAAAACAGTCGTCAAATCTGTTAAGGGCTGTTACGAAGAGGATTATGCGCAATTGTTCTCAATGTCCACTGAAGATAGGAATCTATCAAGTTCGCCCGCAGCAAGAGAAGTTGGCTACTAGGAAACATTTCCCAACTATCAAGCTCTGGAATAGGCTGCCCAGGGAAGCGGTGGAATCCCTGTTATCAGACGCTTTTAAGAACAGGTTAGCGAAACACCCATCACAGACGGTCAAGGTCTATTTGGCCCTGCGTCAGCGCAGGGAGCTGGATTAGGCCTTCTCAAGGCCCTCTCCAGCCTCACATTTGTAAGATTCTATAAAATGACCCAACTGGCCCTTCCAATCTCTAATTTCTCCTATTCTAAAATCCCTCTTAGTGCACATGTAATAGCCTTTTGCAAGGGACTTTTGAGAAGCCCAGGTAAGTTATAGCAAGTGATTGGACCTTATGCAAAAAGCCCTAACAAACTGGAGAGACAGGCTCTTCCTGTGCAGAAACCGTACTAGTTTTTCCCCATCAAAACCCCATTTCCTCCATCTGTTGTAATTCTACCTTCAGTAATTGTTTCAACCAATTCACCTTCCCCTGAAGTCAAGCTCACTGGTCAGTTTTTCTCTTGATCACTTCAGCTCCTTTAATCCAAAGCCAAACATTTTGCTACCTAGTGGTTTAATGGCTCATTTTAATGAGAGGGTAGCAGCTGAGTGACTTGTGCTATTCATGTGTTTGCTCCAGAGCCTCTTCTTTAGAGAGCTGAATATCTGACAGTGCTTCACCTAGACTATCTGAACAAGCAGATGCATCTTCGGCAGTGAAGATGAATGCAAAGTCGTCATTTAGCTTCCCTAAGAACTTCCTTAATTGCTCCATAGTAGTCCAAATCCACCCACAGCTTTTCTTGCAGGCTTCCTATGTGTTATTTGTTTTAAGTCCTTCCCTCTTGACCTTTTTAATTTCCATCATAGAGTATACGCTCCTTCCAGATGACCTGGCTTGGAGTCTCATTTCTAAACGACACCTGTTTGGCTCAAAATAATTCCCATTGTATTTGACCGTATCATCTTGGTTTTTTGCCTTCTCACCTCTTTTTGCCTAGGAAGTTATGCCAGATCTCCTGAAAATCTGCACCGGCAAAAAGACATTTATAGCATGGGAAGACTGGCTAAAATAAACAGACTTCACTTGCAGGAGCTGCGCAGGCAGGAGTGGCTCATATTTAAATCCACTTTCAAGGGTAATTTAGCATCGCAATGAACTGTGAAGACTGCCTCCCTGAAAATAGTAATAGTGTTTTGTTTTATAAATGCTCTGTCCACCTATGTTGAGCTCCCCAGGTTTATCCACTAACTCATTTACATGCCCTCCCTTTCGTCCTCTCTTGCTGGAAGGTGCTCCTAAGAATCCCATCCCTAAACCCATTCCAGCAATTGCTTCGTGTGCCACACCTGTACACATCTGCTAGTTACAATGATGCTACTTCTCCAGGGACCCCTAGATACCATGCCTGCACCTGATGGAGTGACGAGGTATACACTACAGAGGGCAGCTTTGTACTAAAACCAAGTAGAAACCTGCCAAAGCTGGTAACAGTAGCCAGCTCTTATGGACTGGGGTGTCCTCGAGGCCTAGTGACAGAGCCACGAAGAGAGAGGTGGGAAACCTCAGCTCACTGTCAGGACTGCTGAAGGAGGTGGTGGTAGAGAAGGAGGACTATGCTCCTTGAGTCAATCCAGAACAAGAGTCCCATATGAAGAGAGGCTAAAGAGACTGGGACTTTTCAGTTTAGAAAAGAGGAGACTGGGGGGATATGATAGAGGTCTATAAAATCATGAGTGGTGTGGAGAGGGCGGATAAAGAAAAGTTATTTATTAGTTCCCATAATAGAAGAACTAGAGGACACCAAATGAAATTAATGGGTAGCAGGTTTAAAACTAATAAAAGAAAGTTCTTCTTTACACAGCGTGTAGTCAACCTGTGGAACTCCTTGCCAGAGGAGGCTGTGAAGGCTAGGACTATAATAGAGTTTAAAGAGAAGCTAGATAATTTCATGGAGGTTAGGTCCATAAAAGGCTATTAGCCAGGGGATAGAAATGGTGTCCCCTGGCCTCTGTTTCTCAGAGGCTGGAGATGGATGGCAGGAGACAAATCGCTTGATCATTGTCTTCGGTCCACCCCCTCTGGGGCACCTGGTGCTGGCCACTGTTGGCAGACAAGCTACTGGGCTAGATGCACCTTTGGTCTGACCCAGTAGGGCCATTCTTATGTTCTAAGACTTGCAGCCAATTAATGCATCATGTGCGGTCACGTAGGCTGGTAGCCATACCACAGGCCTACATGAAGGATGTAAAGCAAAGGGTGGGTAAGATGTCAGGGCTTGCATAAATCACACCCCTCGCCCCTGAGGAAAACAAATCTGTATATGCCCACCCTCGCATACACTTCCCAATTGCGGCCACTGTCAACATCTCAACACTTCTATTTCTGCCGGCAGCCGAACTCTCCCTTACCTGTGATAAACACTGGAATCAGCTCAGCTGCATTGCAGCTTGTTAACAAGACCTCCTGAGGCACCATTACTCTGCCGCTAACAGAAAGCAACCTGCACTACCACAGCACAAGAGCCGGCCTTTGTATTGTCCCAAAAGTGTACTTTGTTCTCACCCATATGTAACTAGAGCAGCCAAAATGCTTACTGAATACCTCATCTCACCTCTTGAAGCTCTTGTTGCAGGTTTCCCCACTCCCTCCGGAAATACAGAGCTGGCTAAAGAGAGAGAGATTGCCAGGACCCCTCGGATTGCTACTAGAGATAAAGGAAGAACAATTATTTCCACTAAGGACAGTGATTTTCAGAAGCAAACCCTGTTATTTATTTTCGAGCTGCTGAAAAGTAGCTACACAATAGGATATGGGCACTCCAGCATTAACAGGAGTGTTGTGAGCAAGACACGAGAAGTCATTCTTCTGCTCTACTCTGCGCTGAATAGGCCTCAGTTGGAGTATTGTGTCCAGTTCTGGGCACCGCATTTCAAGAAAGATGTGCAGAAACTGGAGAGGGTCCAGAGAAGAGCAAAAAATGATGAAAGGTCTAGAAAACATGAGCTATGAGGGGAGACTGAAAGAATTGGGCTTGTTTAAGCTTGGAAAATAGAAGACTGAGAGGGGACATGATAGCTGTTTTCAATTATCTAAAAGGATGTTACAAGGGGGAGGGAGAAAAATTGTTCTCTTTGGCCTCTGAGGTTAGGACAAGAAGCAATGGGCTTAAACTGCAGCAAGAAAGATTAAGTTTGGACATTAGGAAAAACTTCCTGCATGTCAGGGTGGTTAAACACCAGAATAAATTGCCGAGGGAGGTTGTGGAATCTCCATCACTGGAGATATTTAAGAGCAGGTTAGACAGACATCTATCAGGGATGATCTAGATGGTGGTTGGTCCTGCCGTGAGCACAGGGGACTGGACTTGACGACCTCTCAAGATCCCTTCAGTTCTAGTGTTCTATGATTCTATGAGAAAGAGATAAATCATGCACGAATAGGCTTGGTAGAACACCACTTTTACTGTTATAGCTTCAATAACCGCTCCTGATACAGAGATGCGTTAAGCAGTGGAACAGCCTAAAATAATGGCCACATTCCTGTTCTTTCTGTCCTTTAAAAGTTCTTGTGATGACTACTGGAAGTGGCCACCCTAGAAGGTGGGGAAGGGTGGACTTTGTGACAGTAGGCTTTCTCTACAACGTTATGAATACGTGGGGTGGAGTCAATTTTCATATCATCCCTTGAAAAGAGTGACCCAGGTTTTCTAAAAAAGTGACTGCACAGACAGCAAGTCTTTATCAGTCATAAAGTTAATGGATATAACATAGTGGCAGATGAGACCATGTTCCGAAAGATACCCGAGCCTGGGTCCCCGTCCTGGCCTCTTACTGGGAGTAATGCAGAGGCACTGCAAGTGACTCAGCAGCACCCTCGCCCATTGATTAAAATGTGGCCCTGTTTGGTACCAAAGGGGGAGAGGTGGGACTGGGGGGCGGGAAGGAGAGGAAAGATCTGCTTGACACAGCCGAGAAATAATTCTGGGCTTGGCCTGGATCCTGCTGCCATGGAAATGTGGAAGCATTTGTGGAATGTAGCTAGTATGACAGTGGCTGTTTTAACAAGTGGACTGGTGTAGAGTTCCTGGAGTCCTGCACTAACACCCAGCCGTCCATGCTCTTCTCCTGGCAGGACCAAGCCTTGTCCAGTATACACACTCCAAGACTGAAGAGGCTGAGTGCACATGCAAAGCACAAATATAAGATAAACCAGGTAGGAAAACCTGAGGGTTGGGTTTCAGGCAATACGCAATAATACCCTGCCCTTTGGATTCTTTTCCCTCTTCTCGTGCTTGGGACAGTCTCCGTCTGCTCACTCAGATCCCTTCTCTCAACAGTGTCTTCTACAAGTCTTTCAACACGACCTCCGCAAGGCTCCTATCTCAACCTCACGCCAGTTCTTCATAGCCCCACCAGAACGCTCTTCTGCAACCAACCAACTATGTGGCTCATTTCAAGCCAAGTGTTCCCCAAGCAGAAAGAGAAATCCAGGCAGTTCACTGCAGATTCTCGGCTCCAGAACCAAATACAGGAGAAACACCAACAACTAGCCTTGAAGAGTGATTCTGATTTCAGATCCAGGGAGACCAGGCTGCCACATGCCAGGTTAAACCAAAGCCATTGAGGGGTCCTCAATAATGTTGACAGAGAGGTGGAGTGTATTAAGCTGTGCTGCTAACGCACTGTAGCTCTTATCTGCTGTAATTGTACCAGTTCTACAGAGAGGGAGAAGCAGTAACGATATCTTCCCTAACAGTAATTTCCATTTCAGCAAGCTTCCTCATATTGCAATGGGATATTAGGAAATGGTCTATGCATGTTTTGGCTTGGATGGGTTGGGAATTCACTATGAAAAATCACTATGAAAGACCCCAGACAACTTCTTCCAAACGTATGACCAGCTTTTGGGCTGTCCTCACCGTGACAGATAGCAAGCCTGGCAGAAAGGTCTCCTTCTTCAGGGGCCTTACTCTGTAACTCCTGCTCTCACATGTACCTGTTCAACGCCATGGTAACGGTTGCTCCTTGTTGCATCTCTTGAGATGCTGCCACTGCTGCTTCTGCCAGCGATGCCACCGCCTGCGTGGCCTCTGAGGCCTGCGTCGTTTGGATAGTCATCTCTCCCCCCTGTAGCGTTGCCCAGTTCTGCTCCACCTAATTGGGGAAAGAGAGAAAGAGAATGCGAATAATGCGCGTTTTCCTGAATCGTTCCCACAGCTGGGTGGCTACTTGTAAAATGAGAATGTCAAACACTTTCAAAATGTCTTTGAAAAATCCTACCTGCTTTATTTTGCACAAAACGTCCTTAGAGCACCTCTGGTGGAAAAAGAGGTGCCTTGGGAGTAATTTAGAAACCTAGCTATAGGCAACATTTTGGAAACCATCCAATTGCTTCTCATTCACTACCAAGGTGTTGACTCCTGCCTCCGATTGCCTATGAGATTTCATACAAATGTTTTCATGATGCCTCCCATGCTGCCCCACATATATAAGGGAGAAATCCCCTCCATAGATGCAAACACTACCTTGTTATCCTCTAAATCCATCCTTTGCTATGATGTCTACAGATAACGTGCCTGTTATTTTAAACTCATTTTTATGCCTGAAGTGTCTAGTACCCCTGGTCATGGACCAAGACGCCATGGTGCCAGGTACTGTATACATACACCACAAAATGTCTCATTTCCTCCTATTCCCTCATTTGGGCGCCCATAATCATTTTCTCTCAGATCATACTCAGAGTGTAAGATGTCTGGGATTGTCTTTTTGTTCCGTGTTTACACAATGCCTAGAACAATGGAGTCTGGCCCATGACTAGGGATCTTATGAATAAAACGAATAATGAATGTTACATGTAGAAGCAGTTTGTTCATTGTGGTACATCCCACACTATGCAGGATCTTGTGCTTGCCAGAGAATTCACCTTCTCCCAGCTGATCATTCTCCATCCTAGGCTATCCTCCGCCAGTTGGGACCCCACATGCAGCAGTGAGTGAATGGTCACACACAGGATATTTGGGCATGAGGCAGGAATGAACATCAGGAAGAAAAGATCATACAATCAGAGGATGAAAGTTCTTCAGCCTTCAAGAGGTGTGGGCCATTTTAAAAGAGAAAATTCCTCTCACAGACCCATCCCTCCTCCCAGTTGCAAAAGTCCCTTTATATTGGCTGGTGCTTAAATGTTCATTCAACTGAACATCAGGAAGGGCTCCACAGACCACTGTCATGCCATCCAGAAAGGGAAGAGATTTACTTTATCGCACCCAATCCATCCTGCCTAGGCAAAGGTTTTTCTTTTGATTTGAGTATCCTCTTACACACTGGATCTTAGAAATGAGACCGCTGGCAGAAAGCGGGAGAGGAAAGAACCACCATCCCCACTGAGGCGTGAAAAGAAGCAGAAGAGGATGGAGTCACAGAAGCTGTCGGTAGATTTTAAGGAGATGAATGATTGAGTCAATAGCAAATCACAGTTGAGGAGGAGGAGCACGGAGTAGAGATGTGGCCAGAAGATGCCATTTGATATCTTGGTGAGAGAACAGTTCCCTGGGAGAGGATCAAGGGTGGAGATGGAGAAACTCGAAGGCAATGACTGTAGACTGTGGTGAAAGGAAGCTGAGGTACGAGTTAGAGAGGCAGACTGGATCAAGGACTTTTTCTTTTTTTAGGCTGGAAGAGACCAGCATAGGCTTATATTGGTTGGGGAGGAGAATTAGAAGAGGAGGGAAAGGGAAGGGGCAAAGGATGTCAAGAGGCAGGAGGAGAGATTAGAGGCGAGCAGGCAAGAAACCTGTGTGCGCGTAATGGGGCAGAGGACAGTTTACTGGGGGTGAGAAGGGGGTAGTGTTGGGTCTCATCAACTGTCTCTTTGAAGACATCAGCAGAATCCGTTGCTGGAGGGTACAGGAGGGGGACTCCAAGGCAGCAAAGGATCCGATCAGCTGCAATTGTTGCCCTGAGTCAGCGAGGGAGGAAAAAGCAGTGCGGCTTGCCCAGGAAGTGTGACGAACTGGAGGCAGAGGGAATAGAGCTGCAGCGAAGAAAACCTGCATGCTCACAAGACTTTCGGCAGAAGTTGGAGCCTGCTGGAATGGACATTGCTGGAGATGAGATGAGTGGAAGAGTGACAGAGTGGAGTAGGCGGGGTCAGCGGAGTCAACAAAAGATAGAGAGAAGGGAGAGGGGAAGATGAAAATGGTTCAAGAGTCACTGACATCAACAGACTGTAGGTCACATCTGGGCAGGGGAGAGGGCCAACAGACAAGCACGCAGTGTTGAAGGAGATGAAGCAATGGTCACAAACGGGCCACGTGATGATGAGAAACACAGAGCAGAAGCATTCTGGTGAACTGGAACGTTGATCCGGGGAAAGGTTAGGCAAAGAGGAGCGAGAACCACAAAGGAAGCAGCAAGGGGATCAGATGGGGTCCCCGTGCCAAAGCAGAGGTCACCAAAACTGAAGTAGAAAGGATTGCGATGAGACCAGGAGTCCAAATAGAAGAGGAAGGAGGCTGATAGAGAGGGAAACAGAGGAGATGATCCAGAAGGACTGTTGGTCTCAGGGGAGAGAAGCATAACCCTGTAGGCACACCAAGAGACAAAGAGTGTGCAAGAAGTTGGCACTGAAAGAGAAAGTGGCTCCAGAGGCAGTGTTGGGAAGGGAGGGGGCGGGTAACGCAGGTTTCTTTAAGCACCCAGGGACCGAGGGAGCTGGATGGCAGAAATCTTTTTTGAGACAGAAGAGCAGGGTCAAGATAGAGCCCATTGTGCTGCTTACCACCCTGATACAGAAAAACGTTCAACTCTCCAGACACTGGGATGGTGGTAGATGGAAAGGGGGGGTGGGTGGGAGGGGAAGTTTCTGTCACATCACCCACGACAGGGATGGAGTGTGAAGAGCTGGCTTGGACAAGGAGGGGAACCCCAGGTAAGAAAACACACTTGGATCACAAGAGGCCCAACACCAAACTGCAGTTTGTCTACACAAGTAAAGTTTTACCTGTTTAATAAACTGGTTACAACTTTGTGTAGATGAGGGGGAGGTTTTCAGAGACAAGCTCTTAAGTCTCAAGGAGAGTCAATGAAGTTAGGCATCTAATTGCCATTTGTGCCTTTGAAAATCTTCCCCACGGCCTAGAGATAAAGATACCAGGCCCTGAAAAGCCTCTAGTGAATAGGAAGTACTTTTCAAGGCCAGAGCCCCAAACAAACAGCTGGCTTCGATTCGGTTTTTCAACTTCAAATGCTCTTTAATACAGAACAAAGCTGTTTTGTGCTGCCACCTATTGCCACAAAAACCTTTCCCTTACGGAACAGAACAGGTCAACCATTCCACTCCACCACAAGGATGGTACTTCACCCAGAAACCCAGGCATGTGGCCAAAAGGAAGGGCAGCAACGCACAGTGAAGTAAGTCAGTGAGACTGCTAACGAGGGGCTTGGGCAGAGGGAACTGAGGGAGACAGTTGTAGCTGATTAAGTTATAGGAACCTTCTTTATACAAAATACATTTTGTGATGAAAATTATGCAGGGCTTTTTTTGCACTACAAACGGAAATGCTTCCTACTGAACAGTTCGAGTTTGTTATGATTAAGCTCCCCCATGTAGCTTTGTCATTGGGGATGTGAATGGTTAAGCGGTTGACCAGTAAGCATCACGCTTACTGGGTGATGCTTACGTTACAGTTAACTGGCAGGGGCTGGAGCGGCCCCCGTCTGCCGCATGCAGGGGGCTGCTCCACCCAGAGGGGCCTATCACCAGCTCAGCGTGATGCAGGCAGAGGTGCCTCAGCCTGGCCCAAGCAGTCCCCATCCCTGGCAGGCCTGGCCCAGCTCAGCCAGAGCAGTTCCCTCTCCCACCCTGCACTGTAGGCAGAGGCACCCCAGCCCTGCTAGAACAGCCCCTGGAGCACCCCCCGCCCACCCCTATTTAAGTGGTTCACTGGTTAAACACAAATGTGTAACCAATTAACTGATTAAACAGGATTTTATATCCCTATTTGTCACGTTGAAAAAATTGATTGAAAAACACGAGTACAAATGAACGTACTGTACAGTATAGCACGTTCCTTAACACTTACACCGCTATGCATTTATACAATGCCCTTTATTGGAGGAAAGTGCAAGCCACTTACACACTGACTGAGTCACTCTACCCTTTGGAAGTGCTGCAGGGACACGGTCCCATTCTCCCCATAGGGAAACTGAGGCAAAAAGAAGTTAAGCAGCTTCCCAAGGCCCCACTGTATTCTGTTCCTGGCTCTGACCCAGAAAGCCCTAAACCTGAACCATTCCCCATCTCCTCACACTGTAACCATCTCACTGGTGTTCCAGGCCCAAGGGTTATCCAGACAAGCACATGAATGAGTGTGTCTGGAGAGCTGAATCCAGAACACACGCATGCTATTATCCCAAAGGACACTGACTGAGATCAGCATGTGCAAAAGTTGGGAAATTGAGCACTTTGGGGCCCCTAGTAACTGGGCAAACACACATACCCCCAGAGTTACAGTTACCCCAGACCACGTAAACTAGCTAAGACAATGTTGCATGAACGTTGATTTCAGCTTTTAACTTGGCAGCATTTGGCATTAAGTGTTCACTGGGAATGCAAAACCTGAAGTATGAAAAATACCAGCGTGCCAGAAGTGTCCAGTAGTGACATAGAAGTGTGCTGCGTGCTTGAGAGCCACGACTTCACCCCCGCCCCCTTACCTCTCCGCCAGCGTGCCAGAAGTGTCCAGTAGCGACACACAAGTGTGCTGTGTGCTTGAGAGCCACGACTTCACCCCCGCCCCCTTACCTCTCCATCCGTTACCGCGGAGTAATTGACTTGTGCAACGGTGACTGTGGTAGGCAGCTCAGAGGCATCAGCCAGAGTAGCAACTGTAGCACCGGTGCCAACCTGCAAAATGCCACCATAAAGGAGTAAACAAAATGCAGCACCTGCCATCACTGTTCATCTCAGCAGCCCGTCGCTGCATCTCGGCTAACGGGGCAGCCAAGCCCGCTAGCCTCCAAAGCTAACGCTCCTAGGAGGTTCCACAGTAATGTTTGGGGTAAGCATTAAGATCACTAGAAGGGAAAACTGAAGACCAGAGTGTCCCGCACTTTAATACCCAGCACTCGCCATATACACGGCTATTCATCGTTAGCCCCATGGTAAGGTCTGGAAGGTATCTTCATCCCCATTTAACAGCTGGGAAGCAGAGGCAAAGAGCCTGCTTCTAAGAAGCGCTGAGCCCTCAGACCTCCAAACAGATCCACAGGTGTGTGGGTGCTCCACCCCTTGGCAAAGATGGCTCTGAGCTGCTCACGTACGGCCTAAGAGGGAGTCTGCAGCAGCAGAAGGGGCCAATTTGCAGCCGCTCTGTGAGCAGTTTTGTTGTTCTTTGGGACAGAGAGGGAGGTGCATGGGGACAGAGGAAAGAGAAGAGTAGTAAGGTTGCCGTCACTGTAGGAACATCCTCTCTCCAAGTGATGACACCTAGATCTTTGGAAGCATTCTTCTGGTGACCTAAGTTGCATTTACACCAGAAGTTAGTAGGTATGGCTACAGGCTCAGAAGTGTGGATTTGTCATACCCCTGAGAACCGTAACTATGCCAACCTAAATTTTAGGTGTAGATCCATCTTAAGCTATTGTTTAAAAATACTCTAATCCTTGTCAGATTAGAGCAGTGTTTCCCAATTTTATTGGCCACGGAACCCTTTTAAATTCGAAAGAATTTTGCGGAACCCCCAATAACAGTCTTATATATGGGGCTGAAAAAGTAGACCACAAATAAGTAAGGATAATAATAAACAAATGCTAAACAAGGTCATGAAATCAACATTTAGTTTAATTGTACATATTTAAAAACAAAAACAAAAAAATCACATAATATGAATTTTTTTTAAAAAAAAAATCATAAAATGTGATTGTAATGGAATTTTCTCGCGGAATCCTTATTTTCACTTTGTGGAACCCCGGGGTTCCGCGGAACACCCTTTGGGAAACACTGGATTCTTTGGGCAACACTGGACTAGAGCACAGCCATCAAAAGGCTGTGAAACAAAGCCGTGATCTGCACTATCTACAGATGGCTTGAAAAAAACACCTCTGAGAGGCCGAGCAGCTCCATTCATTTTACTAGGTGTTTGCCTTGAAACAGAATTGTCAGCACTTAACTATTTCAAGCGGTGACCAAAGCAGGCCCAGATGCAAGAGGGATGAGTCAGCTGAGGTCAGTTTTGTGTGTTTTGCTTTATTATAGAAAGACATGCCCAGTTTACTGTAAATGGCATCTTGTTTCAACATCTCAAGTGGACGGAGCCTCGTGAATACCACAACTTCAAGTGCCACGAAGAGTAATTACCAAACCGTGGGTCATGACCCCAGATGGAGTGGCACCATCAGCAGATAGGGTCACAGTGACCTCTGCTGTATTGAGAATGCCATTGTCCTCCAAACTCCGTGACTTTACACATACTGCGCACGTGAGGTCACAGTGCATAGAGGATGCTATTTTGCTCTACAAAATGGCACCCTCCATGTGGCACGTCCTTGCACGCATCATCCATATGGGGGTCGCAATGTGCAATGGATCCCTTGTTCTAGGGGATGCGGCACGATTGCACACATATGGGGTGTGCGAGATCACGCTGTGCAGAAGACGCTATTTTGCTCTTCATCCTCCACCCAGTCTGGAGTCCCCAGAGGAAATGATTTAGAAGGGAAAATAATAAATAATGAATATTAAGTAATAGTAATAATTATATCGTTATAATTTTGCCAGCAAAATGTTGGCAACATGACCTAAAGTACAGTGCAGAAAATCCCACCTTGTTCTTACTGCAGGGGTCCAATAGAACCAGATGTGTGCCCCATGATACTCAGAAAGAGATGTGTAATAGATATCAGAGGGGTAGCCGTGTTAGTCTGAATCTGTAAGAACAACGAGGAGTCCTGTGGCACCTTATAGACTAACAGATATATCAGGGCATAAGCTTTCATGGACAAAGACCCACTTTGTCAGATGCATGTAGCGGAAATTATACCTCCACGAAAGCTTATGCTCCGATACATCTGTTAGTCTATGTGTAACAGAGTATCTCGAGTCGGCGATAAAGGAGGCAGTCTAGGCCTCAGCTCCCTCTCTGCTAAATGGAGAGAACGGCACTGCCGTCTTTCACAGGGGCGTTAGTAGGACGAATGTACTATTCTTTCCACCATGGGAAACTCCCGTACAATGGCAACAGAGGCCACAGAAGTACCTGAGCTAGACAGACGTGAGATTCCTGAAACAAGCAGGTGACGTCAAACAGCCAAGGTGTAGAGTTAAAAACACTTCTGCCCGACACGGCTGCCCAACAGTGTGTGAAGGGACAAGTGGGCTCTGCTCACCTGGATAAGGGAGACCGTGCCATCAGGGTTACTGAAGGTCTGGACCACTGTCTGCGAGGGGACCAGATGTGCTATACTATGCGTAGCGGCAGTCTGTTGCTGCGTCTGTTGATCCTCAAAGGCATAGAGAAGGTCTTCGCGCCCATGCTGTTTGTAGCAGTTCTTCACAATCGTCCGTAACGCCTGGGTCCAGGACACCTAACGGGAGAGAACAATACCATTGAAAGAACAGTTCTAAGGGGCATTTCCAACAGCTAATCCCCCCTGAATTCACTCCCCCGTGACCTGAGCAGCGTACATCTTTAGCTTTCTTCAGGGCTAATTTTTTATCGTTTTTTTTTCCAAAATAAAAACAGAGTCTCTGAAGACACCCAAGCCCCCCATCTCTCTGAACCCACAGTTCATGAGTCACCCGTCAGAAGCAAGCCAGCAGGAAGACTGCAAGTACCCATGTGCCTAATAACAGAACAAGTCTCTATGACCACGGAACGGAGGAAATCTCCTTAGTGAAACAGTTCTGCTTCAAACTTTCAGGGAGTTTAATGAGGAATGGGTGGGTGGGGGTCAAAAATCAAGTGAAGGGCTGATTGATACCGTAATTCCTGGCTCAACCAGGCTCACCCCAGCGAGGGAAAGCTCCAATCCCTGCAAGGGTTTAATCCTAAGAGTCACAACATTTCATGCCCCCTTGTGCTTGTTGGGTAGACAGGTATCTCCCACTCCTCCTTTGCTCCCTGCAACATCCCGACAGAGTGGGCATGCATCCCCTTTTCTCTCCCCACTCACCCCTGCCTATCCCACCACGCCTGTTCCCTCACCTACAGGACGGGCGCCCCCAGCGAGGGAAAGCTCCAGTCCCTGCAAGTCCTAAGAGTCACAACATTTTCATGCCCCTTTGTGATTGTTGGGTAGACAGGTATCTCCCACTCCTCCTTAGCTCCCTGCAACATCCCGACAGAGTGGGCATGCATCCCCTTTTCTCTCCCCACTCACCCCTGCCTATCCCACCACGCCTGTTCCCTCACCTACAGGACGGGCGCACACAGCTCTGTTTGATCAGAGGGGGTGACATCACCTGGTGGCTTTCTGTGGGGCTGGGATATGGGCTCTCTAGCAGATGTTTGGGAGAACAGAGACCCAGCACTGGGCCATGTATCATGAGTTGCTAATGTGACCAGCTGGATGAGGAGTTACCCACCACGAGAGGTGAGAAGAAGAGAGGTGGGATAAAAATATCACCTAGCAAATTAGCAATACGGAGTCAGAGTGGATCCGGGAATAAGTCTCTTTTGCCACCATGTTATTCTCCTCTACCCCTTGGACTAAGGTGGAGCTGACTCTCCAGGGCAGGAAGAGACTGGACCAAAAGGGACAGACAGATGACTGTCATGTGAAACTGCAGCACAGACAGCCAAGATATGGAAACGAGGAGGAACCACCAAACCATGTGATTTGGGCACAAACTTTTAACGCTGGCATGGAACAAGGGAAATGTTTGACCTAGCTGCTCTCTCGGTCACGCACAAGGGAAGCTCACAACATAGCAACCTGCTCCCAAACTTCAGAGGCTGCTCTGAAGGGGTAGCAGCAGCACAACACCCACCCTCTGTTTCTGCTCCTCGGTACGGACGTCACTGCGAACGTTTGCCCATGGAATATCCTCAGGCCACCAAACGGGTTTGCAGCTTTCTTTCCCCCAGCCCGGCTTCCCACGACCTGTTGAGTACTTCAGCATTTCAGGGATGAATGCTCGCAGCTGCGCCTGGAACCAACAGCACAAGAGGAATAAAAGCTTCTTCAGGGGATTTAAGGTTAGTTTCATAAATTTCTGGATTCCATTTCCACCTGTAAACGATCAGACTAAAAACTAACTGAAACTGCTCTGAAAGCATGTGAGGAATCCCTCTCCACCTCACCCGTGTCACAATGGTCAACAGCTCACTGTGGAGTGCTAGGAGAGCGAAAAAGCTAAGTCCGCCAATTAGAACAGTAAAAGCAACATACCACCGCCAATACTGCAATGTTACGGTTCAAATACTCCAGTGATGAGAACCAGCCAGCCCAGTTCAAATCAGAGAGCAAAAACCTGTAAGTTGAGACCTGCAAGACTTTAGCTTAGCTATTTTTGGCCTTGGAGACAAGAAATTATAACATAAGTGACTGGAAAAAAACAAACAAACCTGATGCTTTAGGATTACGGGAAAAGAGTACCAAGTGGTAAAACTGTTCAAAATTACCCAGAAGATTATTATTAGATCATTACAATACTGTAAAGGTGCATCTGACTCAGATCTGTGTCTCAACCATTGCTAATGAAAATAAAGGGAACTTACACAGCCTATAGAAAATTGTGGCCCCCCCCTACGTTTCCAGGGGACACAAACCAATAAAAGAAAAGCCAGCTGACACTTTTATGGACACGCACAGAATACAGCTATAGGCAGAATCACATTATAAAAGGGAGAAATTGAGCTCTCTGTGGGAGTCTCTAGCAGGAACTAGCCTCTTACTGATGACCAAGCCATGAGAGACCCATCAGACCCTAGCACGATGATTAAGGTTGTGAGTATAACTCTATTTGTAACTTGTGCATAGGGCTGTTGAGAATTTCTATATGCTCGAATAATCATAAATTTAACTGTAACTGTAATAAAACTTGTAAATTCTACTTGTGACTGTGTGCGTAATGACCCTTGGTTTTCACGTGTTCTTAGAGACACTAGTTCTGACACAAGTAGCAAAGGTGATTGTCACTGTGAAGCTTGAAACCATAGCTGCTAGAGCTGACCCCATGGTGGTGTAACACCACATTGAAATTTCCCTTGACAATAAAAGGCTACAGTCTCCTCTAGAATTGCGCCCTTAAGCAGCAAGGGGCTCAAAAGCTAGACAGAGGTGGACATTAAGACAGAGGTGGTTCGTCAGGGTTAACCCCCGGCAGGCTGCCGCCACTGCATCTCTCTAGGCAATTTATTCCCATATTTAGCCACCCTGACAGTTTTTTCTAATGTCCAACTTAAACCTCCCTTGCTGCAATTGAAGCCCATTTGCTTCTTGTCCTGTCATCAAAGGTTAAGGAGAATCATTTTTCTCCCTTCTCCTTGCAACACCCTTTTAGGTATTTGAAAGCTGCCATCATGTCCCCTCCCAGTCTACTCTTTTCTAAACTAAACACCCAATTCCTTCAGTCTTCCCTCAGAAGTCACCTGTGCTAGACCTTTCATCATTTTTGTTGCTCTTCTCTGGACTTTCTCCCATTTCTCCACATCATGCCTGAAATGTGGTGCCTAGAACTGGACACAAGACTCTCGCTGAGGCCTAATCAGTGCAGAGCCAAGTGGAAAAATGACTTCTCGTGTCTTGCTCACAACGCTCCTGTCAATGCATCCCAGAATGATGTTTGCAACAGTGTCCCATGGTTGACTCATCTTGAATCTCCAACAGCTGATGGAGATGTTCTGTTGTCCAAGATCTGGGATGGGTCTCCATTCACTTTTCTTGGGAACAAGGAAGGATCTCAAACACACTGTGATAAGACACAGGTTTTCTAGCTTGTGCTGAGGAAGGGAGTCTCTATGTCCTGTCTGAGACCTCTCTTGTGAGAGGTGTCCCCAACGAGGGACGGGGGAAGGGTTGGTGCAGGAATGGAAAGGAATTCTATTGTGTAGATTATATCCCAGTCCTCACCTACAGGACGGGCACACACAGCTCTGTTTGATGAGAGGGGGTTACATCACCTGGCGGCTTTCTGTGGGGCTGGGATATGGGCTCTCTAGCAGATGTTTGGGAGAACAGAGACCCAGCACTGGGCCAGGTATCATGAGTTGCTAACGTGACCAGCTGGATGAGGAGTTACCCACCACGAGAGGTGAGAAGAAGAGAGGTGGGATAAAAATATCACCTAGCAAATTAGCAATACGGAGTCAGAGTGGATCCGGGAATAAGTCTCTTTTGCCACCATGTTATTCTCCTCTACCCCTTGGACTAAGGTGGAGCTGACTCTCCAGGGCAGGAAGAGACTGGACCAAAAGGGACAGACAGATGACTGTCATGTGAAACTGCAGCACAGACAGCCAAGATATGGAAACGAGGAGGAACCACCAAACCATGTGATTTGGGCACAAACTTTTAACGCTGGCATGGAACAAGGGAAATGTTTGACCTAGCTGCTCTCTCGGTCACGCACAAGGGAAGCTCACAACATAGCAACCTGCTCCCAAACTTCAGAGGCTGCTCTGAAGGGGTAGCAGCAGCACAACACCCACCCTCTGTTTCTGCTCCTCGGTACGGACGTCACTGCGAACGTTTGCCCATGGAATATCCTCAGGCCACCAAACGGGTTTGCAGCTTTCTTTCCCCCAGCCCGGCTTCCCACGACCTGTTGAGTACTTCAGCATTTCAGGGATGAATGCTCGCAGCTGCGCCTGGAACCAACAGCACAAGAGGAATAAAAGCTTCTTCAGGGGATTTAAGGTTAGTTTCATAAATTTCTGGATTCCATTTCCACCTGTAAACGATCAGGCTAAAAACTAACTGAAACTGCTCTGAAAGCATGTGAGGAATCCCTCTCCACCTCACCCGTGTCACAATGGTCAACAGCTCACTGTGGAGTGCTAGGAGAGCGAAAAAGCTAAGTCCGCCAATTAGAACAGTAAAAGCAACATACCACCGCCAATACTGCAATGTTACGGTTCAAATACTCCAGTGATGAGAACCAGCCAGCCCAGTTCAAATCAGAGAGCAAAAACCTGTAAGTTGAGACCTGCAAGACTTTAGCTTAGCTATTTTTGGCCTTGGAGACAAGAAATTATAACATAAGTGACTGGAAAAAAACAAACAAACCTGATGCTTTAGGATTACGGGAAAAGAGTACCAAGTGGTAAAACTGTTCAAAATTACCCAGAAGATTATTATTAGATCATTACAATACTGTAAAGGTGCATCTGACTCAGATCTGTGTCTCAACCATTGCTAATGAAAATAAAGGGAACTTACACAGCCTATAGAAAATTGTGGCCCCCCCCTACGTTTCCAGGGGACACAAACCAATAAAAGAAAAGCCAGCTGACACTTTTATGGACACGCACAGAATACAGCTATAGGCAGAATCACATTATAAAAGGGAGAAATTGAGCTCTCTGTGGGAGTCTCTAGCAGGAACTAGCCTCTTACTGATGACCAAGCCATGAGAGACCCATCAGACCCTAGCACGATGATTAAGGTTGTGAGTATAACTCTATTTGTAACTTGTGCATAGGGCTGTTGAGAATTTCTATATGCTCGAATAATCATAAATTTAACTGTAACTGTAATAAAACTTGTAAATTCTACTTGTGACTGTGTGCGTAATGACCCTTGGTTTTCACGTGTTCTTAGAGACACTAGTTCTGACACAAGTAGCAAAGGTGATTGTCACTGTGAAGCTTGAAACCATAGCTGCTAGAGCTGACCCCATGGTGGTGTAACACCACATTGAAATTTCCCTTGACAATAAAAGGCTACAGTCTCCTCTAGAATTGCGCCCTTAAGCAGCAAGGGGCTCAAAAGCTAGACAGAGGTGGACATTAAGACAGAGGTGGTTCGTCAGGGTTAACCCCCGGCAGGCTGCCGCCACTGCATCTCTCTAGGCAATTTATTCCCATATTTAGCCACCCTGACAGTTTTTTCTAATGTCCAACTTAAACCTCCCTTGCTGCAATTTAAGCCCATTTGCTTCTTGTCCTGTCATCAAAGGTTAAGGAGAATCATTTTTCTCCCTTCTCCTTGCAACACCCTTTTAGGTATTTGAAAGCTGCCATCATGTCCCCTCCCAGTCTACTCTTTTCTAAACTAAACACCCAATTCCTTCAGTCTTCCCTCAGAAGTCACCTGTGCTAGACCTTTCATCATTTTTGTTGCTCTTCTCTGGACTTTCTCCCATTTCTCCACATCATGCCTGAAATGTGGTGCCTAGAACTGGACACAAGACTCTCGCTGAGGCCTAATCAGTGCAGAGCCAAGTGGAAAAATGACTTCTCGTGTCTTGCTCACAACGCTCCTGTCAATGCATCCCAGAATGATGTTTGCAACAGTGTCCCATGGTTGACTCATCTTGAATCTCCAACAGCTGATGGAGATGTTCTGTTGTCCAAGATCTGGGATGGGTCTCCATTCACTTTTCTTGGGAACAAGGAAGGATCTCAAACACACTGTGATAAGACACAGGTTTTCTAGCTTGTGCTGAGGAAGGGAGTCTCTATGTCCTGTCTGAGACCTCTCTTGTGAGAGGTGTCCCCAACGAGGGACGGGGGAAGGGTTGGTGCAGGAATGGAAAGGAATTCTATTGTGTAGATTATATCCCAGACCTAAATTTCTGAAGTAATACGTTGCCACATATGAAAGGAATAGAACAGATGGGGGGGGGGGTCACCAAAGCAAGCGGAGGTATCCAGCTGTGTGGAGATTTGAGAGCTACCAACTCATGTCCCTTCAAAATGGCTTCTTGGCAAGGTATTGTGGGAGAGGTGACACTAATGGCAGGGTTTTCTGCCTGCTGCAGTGTAATCTCTGGCATCTCCTGTGTGGCTTGTAAACCCCCTGGTGGAAGAAGGGAGCAGGAAGCTGTTGGCAAAAAGGTGGCTTAGATGCTTTGAGGGGCTAGGATGTAGATCTCCAAGGCATGGATGATAACCCAGAATTCCTCAAACAGTGCGATAATTTGCCTGTTTTTTCACTGAACAAAAGGTTCCCTGGGAAGGGGAGGCCTGCCATTGTTTGGGGTTCCTCAGGACAGCCCAAGGAGTGAAGCCAAGGAGTCTGCCTCATGACTACCAACGTCACCAGGGAGCATGACATCAAGCGACACCTGCCGCCTCATGGAACGCCACATGCCTCCAAAGCTGAAATCCTTGAGGTGGGAAAGAAGGACAAAACTTGCACTCAACCAGAAGATGAGATTCTCCAAGGCAGTACATGCAGGAGAAGTGAGGATCACTGATCGGGAAGACTCAAAGGCAAGCCACATAGGACTTAAAGCCTAGGATTGGGGGCATAATGGGCGCCCCAAACAGTAGGGGTGAACAGGAGGCGGGCAGGGTGAGGAGAGGGGAAGGAGGAACATCTAACTCAAACACTAATCTATCTAGCTACATTGCTTAACTAACTACACTAAAATAAAACTATTTACTGTAATCCCGGAAGAGACAGCAAGCGCCCCAGCTAAGCTGCGGGCACAGCTGGAGTTCCACCTCGAGCCGCAAATGGGTAAAAAGGAACTCAAGTCACCGTTGATCTGCGCTTCCCCGCACGTGCTTCGTTTGGAGCACAATGCTGAGCAGGCACGGACCAATGGACATTACTAGTGAAGATTCTTCAGGTCTCAATTGCACCCATCCCCACAGCGAACACCTCCCCAGAGATTCTGCATAAAGCCCAGGGCGACACACGCCATCTGCGTTTCCATAGCTACTTCCATCTCACGGTGCCGATCCCTTGGGTGGAATTGGGATCAGTGAGGCCCAGAGAGGTTAAATGATGTACTCAAGGTCATGCAGGGAGCCAGTAGCAGCCATAGCAGGCCTCCTTCCCTTTGCCCCACGCTCTGCCCGCTGTGTGGTCTAACCTGTCTGTGCCACTGCTTCCCCATCGATAAAAGAGGAGCAGTGCCTGTGCTGCAAAGCGATCCGAGGTGCTTGGACAAGAGGCATTACAGAAACGTTCGTCATTAAAAAGCCAGGAGCGCGGATGGAATTTGGTTGTCAAAAGCTCCTTCCCAGAACTCCTAGCTGCAAGCTGAGCTCCTTGTTACCAGCTGGATTAATTACTGGTCCTCGGGAGTTCAGAGACTCAAGCTACTCCAGGCACTTGTTAAGGAGGGTTCGTCTCTAATCCGCCAGGGAGGCAATCAGCAGTGGCACAGCGTTGTAACCTGCTCAAGCGTGAGGGCCTCTCTAATTAGTGTCACAACAAGACAGGCCCCCCTCATCCCACCTGCTCACAAAAGCCTAAACTGGGCTACAAGACAGAGATGGCGAGCCCCATATCGCGGAAGTGTGCAGCATCTGGGGGGGAATCAGAACTCTGTGCTAAACTCCGAGCCCTCAGACCTGCACGAACCCCACCCACTCCCTGACAAAAAGGAGAAACCTGGCAAAATCGAGCGGCTTATAGAAATAAAGATTCATTCCAATCTCCTCGGTCCATCAGCTTGGAAAAGAGCTTAGGTGAGCTGCAATACAAGGTCTATATGAGATACTGTTCGAAACATTTTTGGGTGGCCTTAGCTATAGCCCTGGAGGCCTTCTAAAGACAGACAGGAAAGGGAACCTTAAAGGTAACGAGCTAATTCTGATCTTTGTTATCCTCAGCCTCCAAAAAACCCGAGATGCACCCAACTGCAGACACACAAAAACACTAGAAGCAACAGGGCAAAATGCAAGATGCATCTAACAAGCCAGGCCTTACCTCTGAGAGTCAGCTAAAGGAAGCCGTTTCCAGAATAGAACACCCTCTGTGAAGAGCGGCCTTCCAACGGCCCCCCAGAAATCCCTGGGCAGAGGGAGATTAACTAGACAGGTCTAGTGTAGACAGTTCATATTCCTGAATCATGTCCGAGTGGTGAAACAGGTGATAGCAGATGAAGCAGTAATCAAGTGGGGTTCTGCAATTGGGTGTCCATCCTACCTAACAAGTGTGAGAGCTGCATTCTGCAGCAGATTTCAGACCGAGCGATCACATAATATTTTATCTGAGGCAGCAGATTAAAAAATGGGATCTCTGCCCGGGTAAGGAGTAACAAATTGACCCTTGTGAATCTCCCTTTTACAAAGCTCATCTTGCCTTTGGGGACCCTTTTAGGCCTCGCTGCTGCTGGACTTCAGAGAGGCCAGGCTGAGCGAGAAGTTTGGCCAAAAGAATCATTTCTTGAAGCAAAACTGAGAGCCCGGGTCTGGTCTCCTGGAGAGCAATGGGAGCCGAAGGGCCCTGACACAGGCAGGACTGAACCTTTAACATGCCTGGGAAACACACCAGGCTAGTAACCTCCCACCACCAAAACCGTCGAGTCTCCACCTAATACTGTTATCCCCACCCAGAGCCGGGGATATTGTGGGAACTCTAGGGGTATGTCTAAACTATGAGGTTTTTATCGAAAAAGGATATGCAAATTCCACAGGATCTTTCGAAAGTGATAGTAGTCTGGACTTGTTTTTTTTCGTGAAAAAACTCTTTTTTTGGAAAAAACACGTAAATCTCATTTTTTAAAGAAGAGTGGTATATTTTGAAAAAGGGTTTGTTTGTTTTTTCAGAAAAAAATGCGTCCAGACTACTTTCACTTTCGAAAGATCGGAAGTAGTTATGCAAATTCCCGCAGAGTTTGCATATCCTCTTTCAAAAAAACCAGTAGTCTAGACTTAGCTTAGGAGTGCACGAAGCAGAAAGGGTCCTG